ATATGTATACAGAAACGATAACCTCTCGAACACGAGTCAGAAGGTAATAGAAATTCGAACGATCGGTACACGACTTAGAAACAAGCTAGAGCAACGTGGCAACGTTAACGCGATGCTCTTCGACTGGTCGTCCGAGTAATGGCGAATCGTGAATCACTCGGCGAATTTCCGAGAGCCATCGCGTTTCGTTTGCAGGGGCGTGCATTTGAATAAAAACGACGGGTCGTGCATCAGAATATATCCCGTAAGAAGGGGCAACAGGAATAATAGGAGGGGTGCTATGGGGGATACGCGAGTGACATCGCGCCGCAAACAACCACTGTCCCCTTTATATTCAGGAACATAAGCTCGCAAAGTTATTGGCCCATTCGGACCTCCTGCCTCCACGAAACACCGTCCCGTTTCTCATTCGCGTGTCTGATGGCGTTACTTTGCGCCCTCGAATCCCACCCTTTCCTTCCTATCTCTCGATTGCGTTTCGATCGCATACAACTTTACACGCTAACCAAATTACCAAAGAATCGTATCGCAGTTCGATCCCTCTTGGATCATTAATAGCGTGACACGGACGTAATTGCTTGGTCCTCTCTCGAAAGAAAGTTCGTCCGACAAACTTTTTCTCAGCCGTTGTCACTGCTTGAGGCCCTAACCTCGGCAGGTAAAAAGGTGACAAGAGTCTCATGCCCGACCAGCCAATCACGACTCACGTGGAATCGCGCATGAATATTAATCGAGCGTCGTTCACGCGCTGTCCAGAACAGTCGAAAATCTTTCAGAACGAGATCTAACCCGAAGGTTAGGCGCATTCTCGAACGGTTGATTTAAAATTCAAGATGGAAATAACGCATCGGTCGGTTCCAAGGGACTTTTAGATTCCCTGCTAAAGGCTAAGGAAGGTTTCGGTCGGCTACCGGATAGCTTGGAATATATATAATATGCAGCGGGTATCTGAACGCAGAATGAAGAAGAAGAGTTCCAGGGGAGTAAATGACAGGCCCCGCTGACCGCCCCGGGCCCCACAGATGATTATTTTGATTAATTTCTCCCGTCATTCGGTAGCCGAGAGTCGTGCCGCCGATACATTCGTGAAACACGATTCGCTCCTAATTTCGTTCCAACTGAAATCTACGCGGAATCACGGGAACAAAAGGAATCGAGAGATAAATGATCTGGCCCGTTGTCGGCAAACGACGTATTACACGCGGAAGTGGATACAGCGTAGGTATTGAACAGGTAGAGGAGTAGACCGAGGACGCAATTACTCGTTATTCGACGAGAAATTGCGCACGGCGATTATCCCGCGCCTTGGTAATTCGATCTAATTCCACGATCCACCGGTGATTTTGGCTATCTTCCATAATCGGCCGGATCCGCCTTGCACCAAGAAACCGAACCCGTAATAGGCTGGAATTAAGAGGAAACGTGCTGCTCTTCGCTAATCTATTAATTCCTATACACGAAATTACCACCGGGCGTCGACAGAAACGAGTTTTCGCCAAGTCCCCTCCTCCATCCTCTATCCTTCTTCTTTAATGCCGCTTCTGTTGCTAGTTCGTACTCTGCTAACTTTCAGTTTTAAACTATACCTGTATCATATTCGAAGAGAGAAAGGTAGACATTTACCATTGCCGAAAATTGCCGAAAATTGCCGGAAATCCTGCTTTCAGACGACGAAAGCACGAAGATAAGAACGCATTCTCGAGGAGCCTAACGGTGAAGGGTGGAAGAGGTTCGGGTTAAGTTCTTATCGTGAAAAGAAAGCGAACATTTGTCCCCTGTCGACTTATCGTGGCTACTTCTGTCGCTGTTACCCTGCCTCGTAACGACTGAACAATTCCATCTTCGATCGCTCTCCGGCGAAGGATAAATGGAAAGTACTTTCGAAAAGATACATATGTTGCGAGTCTTTTATTCGTCCAAGAGTCGTAGATATTCTTAATGGTAGAAAAAGGAATAAAGGTGGAAAGAGCTATCGATTTGCAGGCACTCGTACGAACGATTCAATCGTTCGATAGGTACCTACTACTTAAACTTTGATTCGCGCTCACGCGCGCGCGGTATAATTAATGAAAACGGATAGCAACAATTACGCGGAGGTTCTAGACGGGGTTCGCGATATCGATCAAGTTCTCGAAAGGCGGTCGGTGAAGAAAATTGCTCACATTTCTTAGGATAGGGTTGTAGAGTGCAGGATGCATATTTCGTTTTGCGAAAGCAACGAGCATCAAGCTCGAGGGCCCTAAAGAGCAACAACGAAGAACAGACAGCGGATCCGGCGCTGACGCTCATTACGATGATTGGCAGATTCAATTAACGAGCAGCCGGGCTCCAGCGCGGCGGGGTCGCCTCGGCTTAACCCCGGCTAAATATTATTAATAATAATCAGCTCATTACCGGCTCCATTAATTATCCGGCTGTATATACGAGTTATCCTGCCTCCAGGAGCGCACCAGATTCCATACCATTCGTACGGATATGTCTACCTATACCAGTAATCGATACTAAACTTCGCCATCTTTATTATTAATTCGCTTCGCCATAATTACGGACGCGCCTAAAGTCGAGCGGTCTTTCGTTCCTTCTTAAATACAACTTTGCTCTCGCTTTTCTTCAAACTTTCCTCTCGGAGTTTAGCGTATCCGCGTATAAAGCAATCCTTCCGATCGAAACTCTTTCGCGTAAGAAGGGACAGGTAGGATCCTAAAGAAGGAGCGAACGTAAATTCTGATACCGTTTCTAACGGCCTGGATGCAGCGTCGGTTTAGAAGGAGGGAAAAGAGAAAGTGGAATATTAATCCATTTAACAAACTCATTATCGATGAGATATATCGAACGTTTACTGTGCGCGTCGGCGCGGCGGCGCGAACGTGCTCCTCCTCGTCCTCCTCCTCCTTCCACCTCTCCACCTCTTCCACCTTCTATCCTGAAGGAACCCCGGTAATATTAGCGGGTTGGCACCCCTGCGGTTTGATTTACGGGCGCGCACTAACGAGCCTCGGTCTCCGTTGAACGCGAAGAGGTGGTGCAGCTCTGTTCACCAGCTCTCGATCGCCTAACAGCGCAGTGCCGCGCACGATGCGCCACGTTCGACGGTATCGGCCAAATTTATTCCACCGCTATCGACTTCCTCCAATCGTCTACAATTGCTCTTGCTTTCCAAAGAAATTCTACTAATAAGATACTTTGTCCCTTCTGAATAGAAAGAAGGGAGAATCCCTAGAACGATCTAATGCATACGACGACAATGCTCCAGATACGGCAATACGAATGCATAAGAAGGAGGGAAGGAGAGGAGTTGAATCTGACAATATGCCGAACCGTTTTGAAAGCTCGAAATGGGCCGACATCGCCGGCCCCCGAGGGCTGATTGGACCGTATTTGGCTGTAATTAAGGCACCG